GGGCATGTATTCTGTAATCTGTAATGGAATACATTTTAAAAGTAACCTTCCCAACACTGAGCATCTGTTGCAGTAAAAGTTTATGGAAATAATTTCTCAATCTGTATTGAATACAATCTCTTTATAGCTTCAGAGACAAATCTCTCATATTTATGACCTCTTTTTAACCGTTTTTTTATTATTACGAGTAAACTTTTTCTTGTTTCAGCCACAACACACAGCCTTAAAACACAAATCAGATTACACGGAACACAGCTTACCTTTGGAAAAGACAATTAAAAGAGGAATTAAATGCATAAACGCGCAGTCTGCCATGCTGTAAAGGGAGACACGCGGTATTCATATACGCACACTCGTAGCGTGAGGTTTTGCGTGTGTACGTGTGTTTGGTCACGTCTCAGTGCGCTAGCACAGCCCCATCAAGGTTCTCCTGGGTTTTCATTGCAAGGCAGTGTGAGCTGCTGTGTAAATCTCTGTTGATACAGACTGATTTCCCCCCCACGGGTTTAATATTTGTTAACTTTTAAATGCTAAACTGTGGCTTTATATTTCAGCAGGAGGAGCCACTCCAGTTATTTTTTATACTGCTATGTTTAATTTTAGTTCCTGGAAGTCGCAAATTGTCCTTAGACACCAGTGATTACTAAACATCGGGAAGTGTTCAGTAGTCGATGGCGAAGCGCTGTTCATTGGTGAGAACTGTCGGCACTAACTTTATTTTTCTTTTGCAACACCTTCCCTTCTTGTTTTCGTCCCTCAATGCTTGCGCTCGTTTCTGAGCTGCTAATCTACGCTGTTCTTGGCAGGTAATTCCTGAAAGGAACTCTGACTGCGTCTTTTTTAAATAAACGCACTGTTAGTAGATAATCTAAAGGTAACACCCACGAGTGAATATTTATAAATGAATCATCATGCTAATTTGCTCTCCAGAGTTTAGTCGCTAAGCTTACAGAGACAGACGTCAAAAAGTGATTTCCGATGTTTACAGGTGTTTTTAATAGTTAATGTCTTTACTTATAGGCAAATAGACTTTGGTGAAGAGGATTTACAGAGAGGTTATATATAAAATGCAAAACTACCTGTTTTTCAAGTATCTTTATGACTCTGTGTTATTGTACCAAAATTATAAGCAATCCAGTCCTTTTTAGATATTTAAAAATATTTTTACAGAACTGTTGTTATATTTGTTGTCTGCTGACCTTTTGGCCAGATCACCTTAAAAAAGACATTTTTAATGTCAACAAGATAATTTTTTTTAACCAGATAAATAAAGGATATAAAAAGTAACATTGCAAAAAACTGACTGCAGCTTCTAACTTGTAACAGGAATGTCGCGGCTCAAGATGACTTGATATCATTTATGAGGGATAAATCTGATATATTTCACATATTATAAGGCAACAAATTATTTACAGCAGTTTAAATACAGACAATCACTTTTTGGCAAAATACTGGAAATCAGTTTTGGCAGACAATCACTTTTTGGCACAACAGGTTCCTAAATCTACTCGTGAGATATCACAATGGCAGCTTTGATCGCTAATTTTGTTTTTACTCGTTTTATTCTATGAAATACTTTTGACGTGACTACTGAATTTCAACCAGTTAAGCTCACTGATGTATTTTACTTTCTGTCTTAGGACGACAACAACAGACGTACCGGCGTGCCACAGCCCCACGTCTCTGCACACACTGACTCCGTCATCTCTGTCTTTGTTAGTTCATCAGTTCAGTTTTCCTGGCACGAATTTGCAGGGCTGAACAATGACAGCACGAGTTTAGATTCTGTGGCCACTGCGGTTAATCTGCCATCATTTAGATTATATGACAACAACCTTCAAATCTGAAGTCTCAGAAATCTGCTTCATGTACAAGTTCCTCCAATAATCAGGGCTAATATCATCAAATCGTACATAAACAGACTTTTACATGTTAAATATTTCTCAAATATGGGGAAAAAAACAATATAAAATACTATATTAATAACAAAATAACTTAAAAAAACAGCTACAAATTGCTTGAAACATTTGCAATAAAAAATACAAAGCAGCTTTATTGTCAGTACATGAGGACACAGTTACAGCGACGTTGGAGTGGTCAAAAGACGACAGAGATATGAAGTGGAAATATTGTATACAAATATTAAATAGAAGAAAAAACAAAGTTATAAAAAACGTTAATAATTGAAATCTGCAACAATATTCACATAAAGTGTAAAATACAGAGTTAACTGTTTAATAGGTAAAGTTTAGGTCTTTCAGTCGAACAATGATCCCAAACACAGCAGCAAATCTACAGCAGAATAGCTGAAAATCAAGATCCAGTCAAAGTCCAGACCTCAACCTGACTCTGATGTTGTGGTGGGACATTCAGAGAGCTGTGCATAAATAAATGCCCACAAACCTCAAAGAACTGAAGCAACGTTGTAACGAAGAGTGGGCCAACATTCCTCCACAACAATATGAGAGACTGATAAAGTCAAGCAGAAAACAATCACCTCACATTCGTGCTGCTAGAAGTGTTTCTAGTTATTCACAGGACTGTAGTTTGAATTTAAGGAAATGTGAAAGTGCACTGAAATTAACATAAAGTTATTGCAATTTAAAACAAAAATCAAGAAATCTAAGAGGAACAAACAATGTAAACCACACAAACTCTGTTCCTTATATTCTCCACATAGCAATGCACATAACAGACATAAAATATATGCATTTATCAATAGAAAATATAAAATTTTTCCATAGTCATAGCCAGGCCCGATTACTGCCAAACCTGTGCTGAATCACTTAAATAGGACCTGTCTGACAAAGTAGAGTAGACCAAAAGATCCTCAAAAACTACACATCATGGCGCGATCCAATTAAATTCAGAAGCAAATAAGAAACAAAGTAATTGAGATCTCTCAGTCTGGAGATGCAACATCAAGATGAACAGAATCCAGTTTCTGGCCATCTGTTCACAACCACAAGCTGAAGTGCACTGATCCAAAGCACACTAACAAGTCCACCTCTAAGCAGCTTAAGTAAAACAAAATAAAGACTTTGGATTGGCTTAGCCAAAGTTCATACGTGAATCTGATTGAGGTGCTGAGACCTTGGAAAGGTGGTTCATACTCAAAAACCCTCCAGTGTGGCTGAATTACAACAATTTTGCAAAGATGAGTGGGCAGAAATTCCTCCACCACCTCGTAAAGGACTCATTGCCAGTTATCCCAAACGCTTTATTGCAGTTGTTTCTACTCAGAGTGGCCCAACCAGTTATTAGGTTTAGGGAGCAATCACTTTTTCCACACAGGGCCATAATAATGGCCGCCTTAATAATAAATGCCTTGATTTAGGAACTACTTTTAATGTTTACTTGTGCTATTTTGCAAAAAATTAAATCTCTGCAAAAACATCAAAACTGCTGACCATCTGACCTCAATATGAAATTATTAATCTTTTGACAAAAAACATTTAAATTTGTAAAAATAAAGGAACCATAGAGGAACAAACAATGTGAACCCCACCCATGTTGTTTGCTACATTCTAACATGGCAATCTAAATAACAGTAATGCAAACATATATATTTATCAATAAAAACAGATCGCCTTCTCACTGTTACAACAGTTAAGTATATCAATGTTTGTTCAGCTTTCATAATTGTAAGTTTATAAGTACATAGTACATTTTCTGGTCAAGTCCAACTTCTTTTAATACATGCAACACATTTCAGAACATTTGGGACAGAGACAACAAAAGACTGGAAATACTTCTTAAAAATCTGCTGAAACATTTTAAAGCCAGTGGGATTAAATGGGAAGCATAAAAATTATTACTAGACAAAGACCGATTGAATCATGAAGCAAAGAATTAATAACTAAATCACAAGTAGAAAATGTTATGCAGATATTATTGGATAGATTTTGGTGTAGAAGAAAATGACAAGAAATCAAAAATGAAAGTTATCTCGTGTTTTTCTTTAAAGAGTGGCCTACTGCAGAGCAGCAACACTGACAAAGACCATCATCACCAATACTGCAGCTAATACAATGATCCAGGAGGAAACTTGAAAAAGCAGGAAAAATGTGACACTGATCAAAACGAATACATCAGTTATTGATCAAAGAGAAAATGCATACTACCACAATGCATTGTTATTGCATCTCAGTTTCTCACCATCACTGATAATCTGACATCTGTTGGACCTCAGGAATCGTCACCATCACCTCTCTGTGAGGAGCAGAGAGCACTCGTGCTGCACATCCCACCTGTGTGCTGTGTTTACGTGAACCTGAGAGCACAGCTGTAGTGGTGACAGTGAATGTAGCGTTGGTGTTGGACACACTGACAGTGTTGTACTGTGAGAAGCTGAGGTCTTGTTTTGAGACACTGAGTGTTACAGTGGGAGCAGGTCGACCAGTGGCTGAACAGGAAACAACCCACTCTTCAGTAGAGTTTGACTCTCTGACATCAACAGCAGGTTCATGCAGCTCTGTGAAGGATCAGGAGATATGAAATAAGGAGTATATTGTTAAAGATACATTGACTTCCAACACATGTAACGCATTAAGGTAAAATTTCTTACCATACGGATGAGTGTTACACGATTTATAAACCCCAGTTTGTTAATTATTTGTTCATTATTCATAACTATATACTTAATTATTTTTTAAATTAAGTGTTTTTGGTCAAATGGAATTTCTTTTTGGGTAATTTTTCAACATCTTTTAGCCCTCTTCCAAAATGTTTTAACCTTTCTGTCTCTAACAGTAAAACAT